CATCTGTGCTGTAGAAATACATAGCGTCAAGAACACCTTCGAAGCAAAAAAGTACATGACGAGCTTCTTCAAGCATCTGAGCGAATTGTTGAGACTTAATTTGAGGGGCAATGACCCCAATCCAGGGCATATAATCAAATACGTAATTTGCACTGTTAGTTCACCAAAGAATTTAAACCTTGCTATTGTCAGTTCACCAAAGAAAGCAAGGACCACATGCTAATGTTCATCTACATTATAACCTACACTTATACACACAAAAGAGTACAAAACGAAATTTTTGCAGTATGGATATTATGTCTGTGCAGTTGAATATATTTATTCCATTGACATGGGAAACAATTGCGGTGCTTCAACATAGGATTAGGTTTTCTACTCATTCCACGAGACAAATATACAGATGTATATAGCACAATTCAGAAATGAATCTCAACATGTATCAGTGTTTCAACAAGAAAATGTTTGAAATGATAAATTTGACTTCTGCGGACAGTAAGCCTCTAGTAAACCCCAGATGATTTTTTCCCAAAATTATTAATTCTTTGTGCAGTTTGTAATTGAAATCTTGCAAATAAATCAAAATTTGTTCACCGAAATCAAACCAACAAACACAGAGCATTCATGATTCAATAATAGTAGTTATACAAATTAAAATCGAAAGCTAGTGATGCTTACATAATTGTGTTTCTCCCTTCGGAGCCAAAGATCATGGTTACCAGGCACATAGAACACACGCTGAAACCTCTCTCTCAAAAGGGACATTGTCAGAACGAAATTCGCGCAAGTCTCAGCCACATCTCCTGCAACAATAAGAACATCTTTCTTGTACCTATTGCTTGACAAAGACCTCACCCAGCTAATGTTCTCAAGGTAATTTGTGTGCAAGTCCAAGACTACAAATACCTGCGACCCAATTGTCTCTGCTTGCACAGAAGGCAGAATCTGAGTCCTCACTATGTGGGAGGAAGTAATTATATTTCTTCTTCTTCTACTACTAGGGTTTATGAAACCCAATCCATTGGAAAGAAAGCTGAAATTTGCATTTCCTGGGTGTTGAGGCAATGGAAGGCAGGCAGAGTACAAGCAACGGGCCATTTGTTCCCAAAACAAAACCTATATCAATGTACAGACCTATTGTTTCAACCGAATTGGATAGCAGAATCAATATCCCTAAAACTATGAACTGAAAAATCCCAAATTCTGATTCTCCTTGTCTCGCTCTCTAAACACCCATTGAGCACTTTCACTGTGTGGAATTGATCGTGTCCGGCTGAAATGCCACGCGG